GAAAAATAAAACAAAACAAAACAAAAATAATAATTTCTTGGCCTGGCATGGTTGTGCATGCCTGTAATCCCAACACTGGAGAGACTGAGGCAGGAGGTTACCATGAGTTCACAGCCAGCCTGAACTACATAATGAGACCCTGTCTCAACAAACAAACAAATCTCTTTTGCCTTTCCTTGTAATTTATTTGTTGAAGAACATTTGCCATGGGTTCCTATGTATTTTCCTGGAATCTGGATTTTACTAATTGCATCTTCCTGGTATCATTTAACATGTTCTCCTGTTCCCTTCATATTCTGTAAACCAGTAGCTGGACTGAGAAACCTGATCACATTTCAGTCTGATTTTGTTCCCAAACTTCTTCTTCATGGAGTTGGGTAATTCCCTAAAGACATAGATTTTTCTTTATATTCTGGTTTCTATCCTGAGGATAAAGCTGTGATGTTTATGCTACTGGGGAACAAACAGAGCTATGACTGCCTTTTACAACTTTTAAAAAATTTTTATTTTTAGTAGTACATGCTTTAGTACTACACTCTTCCCTTTCATTTAGAAAGGGAAGATCTTTTTTTTTTTTTTTTTCAGAAAGGGAAGATCTTTTAATGAGGGAGGTATATACAATGGGATGGCTGAGGAAAGCTCAAAGACAAAAACAGAAGTTTGTCTTCCTTAGAGTAAGCAAGATTCCTTGAGCAGACAGGAATATATACAATTCGGCAAATGTTTATTAAGTGCTGCTTTCTGTCAGGCACTGACCAGGTGGAGACATCTTTATAAAGATGAGTGACAGAGACCTGCTTCTCAAGGAGCGAGTCCGCAGGCGCTCCCAGCCACAGAGTGAGGCAATTAAAGAGACCTAATGAATAGCGGAGTAATACGAGAAGGCAAGATAGCACTAGGTCAGTGGGCCATGCACCTGCCATATTTGGGGAATCCGGACTTCCTGGAGAAACCCATGACAGAAGTTCATGGCGTCGGCAAAAAATCAGAAGAAAGAAAATGAAATAATTTTTCTTCAATTATGCTAGGATATTCGAAGAGGTGTGGTGGTAGAAAGGGACTTGTAGGGGAAAAATTTTAGAGTTGAAAATAAGTGAGGTGATGATCAGGACCTACAAAAAGGTACAATTCTGCACGATCTCTAAGGATTATTCCTAGGAAAGAAGTGAAAGTGAAAATGGAGCTGCAGGTGTGGTTCAGTGGCAGAGCAGGTGCCTAACGTGCGGGAGCCCTGGGTTCAATCACCAGCACGACTTAAAAAGCATCGAGCATGAATTAGTGTGTACTGTAACAATCGCTGGTATTGATGTACTGCCTTTTATAGCTTAAGTGGTTGAATTTCCAGACTCTTCTGCAGTGTGAACCAGCCTGTTCACGACAGGTGCAGGACAATGGGGCAAAGGGGAAGTCACATCTTTATGTCAGAGGAGTCAGCGGAGTGGGGCCCGTGCCTTCTTTATTCCTTCTACCTGCCCATGTTCAAGCTGTGGAGGAAACCTTGTCCGAATCCTTGGGCAAGGCCCTTCTGAGTAACCATGGATAAGCAGTTTAATTTCTTCATTTCCTCAATTGCAAAGCAGCAATAAAAATCGTCTCTTTCCAATAAGGTCTATAGTACTTTCTTTAGGTTGTGTTCCCTGGCATGTCTCTCTCTCTGTCTCTCTCTCAATCTCTCTCTCCCTCTCCCTCTCATTTTGTTTTGCTTTTTGAGACAGGGTTTTGCCCTATAATTCCTTAAACTCACCATGTAGCCCAGGCTGGCCTCAAACTCCTGGCGATCCTCCTGCCTCAGCCCCCCAAGTGCTGGGAATACAGGCGTGTGCCGTCACACCCTGCTACATCTTTAAATATTGTCCAGTTGTTTTTTTTTTGGCTGCTTGTAGTAGTTAGAGTAGGTTTTATTTGGAGCTAAATTCCTGGACAATTATGGAGCTTCCATGACTGTTGCTAAGTATGATGTTTGCATGAGGGGGTGTAACCTGCAGGCTGTATCCTACAACCTTCCAGGTAGCTTCAATAATACCAATAGTTGAGATAACACTGTTCCTTTTATGTGTGTGTAGCAGGTGGAGGGATACTGGGGATTGAACCCATTCCTCTTTCCCTAGGCTGCATTCCAGACCTTTTTATTTAATTTTTTTCATTTTGAGACAGGATCTCACTAATTTGCCTGGGGTGGGTTCCAACTTGTGATCCTGCACCCTCAGCCTCCCAAGTGTTGGG